CATGCTTATAGGCTCAGCAGTGCTATGCTGGCTAGCACTACGGAAGAAAGAGACTTCGGGGTCATCATTGACCACAAGATGAACATGAGCCTGCAGTGCAATGCTGCAGCTAGTAAAATGACCAAAACGCTGGCTTGCATCCATAAATGCTTCTCAAGCAAATCCCGGGATGTCATTTTCCCCTTGTACTCAGCCTTGGTGAGGCTGCAGCTGGAGTACTGCGTCCAGTTTTGGGCCCCACAATTCAAAAAGGATGTGGAGAAGCTTGAGAGAGTCCAGAGAAGAGCCACGCGCATGATCAGAGGTCAGGAAAACAGACCCTACGATGACAGGCTGAGAGCCCTGGGGCTCTTTAGCCTGGAAAAGCGCAGGCTCAGGGGTGATCTGATGGCCACCTACAAGTTTATCAGGGGTGACCACCAGTATCTGGGGGAACGTTTGTTCACCAGAGCGCCCCAAGGGATGACGAGGTCAAACAGTCATAAACTACTACAAGATCGTTTCAGGCTGGACATAAGGAAGAATTTCTTTACTGTCCGAGCCCCCAAGGTCTGGAACAGCCTGCCACCGGAGGTGGTTCAAGCACCTACATTGAACATCTTCAGGAGTACATTGGATGCTTATCTTGATGGGATCCTATGACCCCAGCTGACTTCCTGCCCCTGGGGCAGGGGGCTGGACTCAATGATCTTTCGAGGTCCCTTCCAGCCCTAATATCTATGAAATCTATGAAATCTCCAGGACCTGCCGAGGGAAGAATGGAAAAGGAAGGTCTTTTCTGAAGTAACGTCTGTGGTGGAGTATATCATGCCTTGAAGTGCTGAAATCAAGTTCATGGGTTTAGCCAGAGAAGATGTAGGAAACAAAGGGCTTGGTTTGAATGCGCTGCATGTGCCAGGTCATACAGTATAGGGGGCCAGGTGGTGGTGCCTCTGCCAGAGCAGAGCAGCAGGCTCCAGGCTGCCTGGGGTGGAGCCTTCAGGGTTGTCCAGAAGCTAAAGGACATGAACCATGGGCTAAAGAGTCACATCAGTCACCACAGGATACCACTGTCTGATCAGATCACTTAACGCCTAAACAGGGAGTCAGAGCTCAGAGAGATGCTGCACTGCTACAAGCAGGTAGTCCCTAGCAAGCCTGAGCACACTCACTTAGCTGTGTACCCAGTGAAGACGAGGCCCAAATCTCCTGTGAGCTGTTTTTCTGCCAGTCACTGAGGAAACAGCTCAAGACCCAGAAAGGAAAATCAAGGACATGCTGGCACTAAGCATGAATCGGCCCTGACAGAGTCCATGGGAATCACCTATGGTGCTGGTGCCCAAGGAGGGCAACACTCATGTTGTGTGTGGCCTATTGCACACTTAATGCTATCAGCAGGGCTTCTGCTTATCACTTGGGGGTGCCCTATGAGCACTATGGATCTCACTAGGGGCTACAGGCAAGTGCCACTGGACCAGATGCCAGGCTTACATGAGCCTTCACCACCTCGGGAAAGCTTTTTGAGTTCCTGGTCTTACCATCTGGCCTGAAGAGGGTGTGAGCATCTGGCAGATCATTACTAAGGGAGTTGCTCTGTGTTGATGATGTTTCTATTCTTTTCTAGCATGTGTTGATGATGTTTCTATTTTCATCCAAACTGGGAAGAACATGCGACTTGGAGGGGACTTAACTGCCTTAAGGAGGCTGGACTGACCATAAGGGTAGAAGCATATAAAGCGGGGTTGGCAGCCATGTCACATCTAGGACACATCTGGGAATGGTCCCAGCCAACCAGAGCCTGCAGAAGTCAATGCTATTCAGGCCTAGTCTGGTCTCCAAATGAAGCAGCAAGAACAATTCTTCAATGCGATGGTGGGATGTTATAGGAGGCTTGCACCCTGTGTTACCTCCATAGCTGTTCCTGTCACTGAGCTATAGCAAAAAGATAAGCCAGATAAGGTGGTCTGGACAGGAATTGCAAAAAGCCTTCTGCTGCTTACCAGCTCTGAGCCAAGGCACAGTGCTGGTGAACCGCTGACTTTGACAAACCACTTACACTCTTCACAGACACCTCAGAATAGGGCTGGGGGCCCCTTAATGAAGGCCAGTGCTAGCTGAGAGACACAGCCCATTATGTGATGCTGTAGTCAGAGCTGATTCTGTACCTGGAGATGCTGGGATGAGGAGTGAAGGCATGTGCGCTAGGTGCTGTTGGCCTATTAGAGAGAGATTTTTTTGGTTGGTTTTGGTTTATAACTTTTTTACTAACCGATGTTGATAAGACAGAACAGCAAATCAAGTCAGAAATTGGGTCCACATAGCTCTCGACTTATCATCAATACTCACCATTCATGGTATCATCCATTGGGCCTTACTAGTGATAAATATGGGCCAGAGCCTCAAAGGTATTTAGATGCCTACCTACTGACATGACTAGAAGTGAGGTGCCTGTATACCCATGAACATGTGGAGCCCAACTCAATCTCTCTTAACACATAGGACACAACGTGTGGATCTTCATAAAAACAATTCCCAAATGCACTTTTAAATAACAAACATTTTCATGAGAACTACATAGATGCTATGTTGTGGATAGTGACTCAGTGGCCACGTCTACATGTGCGCTTTACTGTGGAGTAGACTAATTAGCTATGGAGTAAAGTATCACTGTTTATACGTGTGACGCTATTAGGCTGCAGTCAACTAATGTACACTGGCATAAGATAGTACCGTCCCCAACTGTACTATCTTACACCAGGGTAATTTACTGCAATTAAATGCATGTGTAGACTCTGACTGTGGGCTTAAATTGTGCCCCGTCAGCCCAGCCAGCTAAAGCCAGACCCTGCCTGCCACCTAGCTACGCGGCTCTGCATTTTCTGCACCCTTGTGTCCCAGCCAGCCCCTCAACCACCCCCCCAGGGTCTGGGGCTGACCCCCATACCTCATGCCAGCCTGGGCCTATTCTACCCTGGCTTAAATTGCTGTTATCCTGGGCACAAATGTAGATGCACCCAGAAGTAGTTTACTCCAGCTCAAACTGCTCTGGAGTGTATTGCTTTGCATTAATTGCACATGTAGATGCATAGCACACTATCTCAAACCTTGCTATTGCTTTTAACACCCAATGCTTTCTTCTTGACTAGAGATTATTAATGCCTCAATATCTGGGAGCTCTATTTGAGACACTCAGGACACATTTGGAGCTGGCTGAAGGGCTTGGATTACCATCAGTGTCTAAAAGCATTTGGGGAAGCAGCTTGACAATTCATCTAAAATTATGATAGTAAATAGAGCACAAGCCAATGTGTTTTTATTATAAAAAAAATTATTGTAGCTATTTACACTGGTTCCTTTATAAGTGTATAAATGTAAACATTTATTATTGATGTATTTATCATTGATTTGTACAATTCATCCCCAGTTCAGAGCAATACTGTCATTTAGCATATCAGTAGCGAGAAAATTAAATTATATTCACAGAATATACATTCACGTGCAGTTAGAGGGTCACCAGCTTTACGCTAGTGGTATAGACACTGTCCCATTGGCTCTGCTTCTGCTCCTGGTATGCACGCTGGAGTCTGTGATGTCTTCTGCGTGGTCTTCGCTTTTCTTTTCCTTTAAGCTGTTGATGAATCTTAGGGTTATTTCATCCCACTCTTCAGGAAGCAGCATTAGCAAAAATCCAATGCAAATGATAATGGTAGCCCCCAGTCTTACGACACTGAAGATCACTTCATGCTTCAGGAGGTCCACAGCTACAGGGGGGAGAAAGGCAACGAAAGCAAAGACTGTAAAGTCATCTTGCGATGGTCTCATAGCCTACTAGGGCTTCTATATTTCATACTAAATAGAATTGGAAACTCTCACTTCCTTCATGCTTTCTGTCCTAATGGAAATGTCTGCTGGGGAGCTATAAAGATTTATGGCTGGAGAGTAGAATTTATATAAGCCTTGTATAAGGCTGAGTCACAATCTGGTCCTTGATTTCCATTTTTTTCCAAGTGAGAAAGTCGTCTGTGCTCATAGGATCATAGGAAAGAAGGGCGGGAAGGGACCCACCAGGTCATCTCATCCTGGCTCCATGCTCAAGGCAGAATCATCCCTAATTAAGTCATTCCAGCCAAGTGTCCATCTAACCTGTTCTTGAAAATTTCCAGGGGTAAATCAGCAACTTCTCTAGGTAGGCTGTTCCAATGCCTGACCACCCGCATAGTCAAAAAGCTCCTCCTAAGCATTAGCACTTTACAGATAGCATGTCCTTCTACCCAGGCTCAGCTGTACCACCAGCATTTGGGTCACAGACATGGAATCGAGGCTTTCCACCCCTGTCCACCAACTTCCCACCCCCCCGACAGGCAGCCTCCATAAGCACAGAGCTCAGCCCTCAGGCTACTTGATAAGCTCCTGCAAAATAATACATTTACTTTTTAATTACCCCAGTGGAAAAGACTAGAAAAAACTGCACTTGCAGAGTTAAGTCTCTATTGTTATCAGCTTCACGTTTATTTAAATTGCCACTGAAGTTAAAAAAAACCCTGCAAAAGAGCTTGAGAAGAAATAGGGCATGACGATGATCTTTACTCATTAACGGCACTAGGTGTACCTGCATTTCCAGGAACGCTGAGCACTGTCCCGATGGAAATCAGGATGGGGTACGTCAGCACAACTCCAACGTTGACCAATATGTTGAATGCTGTCGAGACAGAGGACAAGGCACAAGAGTGTCAGAGACACAACTTCATAAAATGTCGTGAAATTACACCACGCGCTTTACTACGTTCTTACACAGGACTGAGCCTGTATGTGCGGGAATGTGAAATGAATGGAGGGTCTGCACGAGGAAGAAGAAGAAGGTTGGGTATACAGATAGAAAATTCCAAGTGCACTAGTTTTCTATTCCAAAGCTTAAAGAAAAGCCATACAGACTTGCTTCCCTCCTCAAAAAACACCTTGTGCCCCATTTACAAAAGAAATTAGGATTGTTCTCCAATTGCACTCCCTCTCAGTTGCAATTCTGTGGTCTTGCTCTTCCGTGGGGGACTGAGCAAGCAGCCCAGGGTGGGACCATCCATGAAAGGACAGTATCAGCAAGCAACACATACGCACCCCTGCCAGGGACATGTAGCCAGCCCTAGCTGTGCAAACAGAAGAGTCCTCTCCTCTGCAGGTTATGAGGAAGAGGGGAGAGCGGTACAGTAAGTAGAAAGGATATGAACTCCCCTTTCATGGGCTTTAAGACACTCAGGGACCAGAGGGACCCTATTGAGGCGAACCATTGTCTATAAAACCAGTGTCCCAGCCTGAGATGTCCAAACTAAGCAGAAGCCTTTAAGCTACTTAGGCCAGATGCACAATGATACTTAGGCACCCAACTCTGATGGCTTTCATTCTCTTGGTAGACTGGGTCCTTAGCGCCCCTCTGAAATTCCTTTTGTTCTATAGAGCAAGGGAATCTCCTAGGCAATTGAGGACATGTTGCATTGTATATTTGAGCCAATGCTGTGAGAATGTGGGTACTCCAGTGTTGGGACAGGCTCATCTCTGCTGTTTGCTCGTCTCAGCTGTGTTCCTGTGTTTATATCCCACGGGGCAGTACTGTTCTGTTAAAGCATGGTTGCTGCTGCCACGACCTGTCCGATAGCTATGTTTCGAGCTGAGTGCTGCTCAGTTAGGATCCCTGAGCGAGTCCTCAGCCAAACAGTGCTCAGGGCAGTGGGGATGTGTCATGGGCAGCTTTATGCCCATCCTCCCCAAGCCTGGAGCTACTTTGGCCCCACTGCAACTTCAGAGCAGCTGCTGGGATGCTGCTGCAAACTGGGTAAGCTCATCGGTGAGCACAGGTACCCCAGCCAAATCCCCCTTCTCGACACCCCACCGCAGACACCCGCCTATGCTGGTTTCAGGGTAGAAAACTGCATGGATGGAGTGAGGCTGGCTTTCTGCCTGCTCTGTGCAGCTGCTCCATTCTACCCTCATTTATATGTTCAACCATATCTTTAGGTGATAAGTCATATCCACTTTAAGACTTCTCCTAAAGGGACCAGAGAGTGGATGCAATTAGGTCCAGGGCAGGGAATGAAAGATAACCAGGAGCCAGGCCGGGTTATGTGACAATCAGAGCCCAGGTGGCTCATCCGGGGATGCAGGGGGGCCTCCCACTGCTGCAAGCAGCCTGGCAGAGGACTGGGGGGCACATGCCCCCCCAATCCCCAATCTGTGCGCAGGGTGGAGGCAGCTGCCACTGGGCTTTGCACACCTCTGCAGCTGCCCCAGGAGTGGTGTAACGCCATGTGCATCCTTCTGCCAGTTGACAACCACTGCTGTAAGAGACCCAACCTTTTTTCTTTTGGTGGGTTAAATTTTTTTATGTTTTTCCACTCAATTCTTTCCTAAAATACATTCATTGTTTTCCAGCATCCTGCACAGTAGTTGCTTGTATAGAAAAGATTTCATGGATTTCATAGACACCAGGGCTGGAAGGGACCTTGGAAGATCATCGAGGCCAGCCCCCTGCCACAGGGGCAGGAAGGCAGCAGGGATCACAGGATCCTAGCAAGATAGACTTCCAAATGTCTCTTGAAGGTGTTCAAAGTGGGTGCTTGAACCACCTCCAGCGGCAGCCTATTCCAAACCTTGGGGGCTCGGACAGTAAAGAAGTTCTTCCTTATGTCCAGCCTGAAACAGTCCTGGAGGATGTTATCTATGAAAGAATGCTGCTTTTGAAATGGTTAATGCAGCAGCTCTCAACCAAGTAAGCCTCAAGACACCCCTTGAAAAATGGCAGCTCTTCGTTTTCACTCATTTCTTGACTATGGAAAAAAGAACAGAGTGATTTTTCAGTTGCAAATAGCTCAGAAAGAGCACAAGGGCCAAATGTTTTTGACACGATGGATTCCCATTTTATCCAGTGAATCTCACATAGGCGTTTGCACAAATAACTGCAAACATTGTGTGGCACCATGTGACACCTTTGAAAGATGCTCACAGGGTGCTGCGGCACTCCGGTTGAGAATCACTGGGCTGTAAGAAAGGGAATGGTCATGCTGGTGGCGGTTTATTCTGTGGCAAATGCAAAACAACAAGAAGTGCTAGAGAAAATGAAGGCAACATTCAGCAAGTACCTAACCAGAGGCCGGCTACTCCACAAAGGTAACCCCACGGCACAGCAGAGAAGGGGGACCAATATTCCACCTTTGTAAAATACAGTATGACCGGGGTAAAGGAGATGAAAATTAGGTTGAAGAAGCCCAGCGTAGAGACAAAGTGAGCAGCTTCCCCGAAGTTCGCACTGCCAAGAAACATCTTGAACAAAACCTGCAGGGAAAAGGAAACGTATTAGCACAGTTACCTTCCACCCCATGCAAAGTTTTGCCGTGCAAATTGCTCCCTGGGGATTAGGCAAAGCTTTGGGCATGGGAAATGCAAACTCAACTGTGTAGCAGTGCAAGAGGTCTTCACTAAGGTTTCCACCCCAGCAATGCCCTCCTGTGGGCTTGACCCCAGGGAGGGATGACCTGACTTGTTCACATAAAACTCGGCCCTGGCTGCCCAAGTGAACACTTCTATTGCCTTCGGTGGGACTGTTGAGTGAGCGCTCAACCAGGTGAGGCAGGGCTAAACGGTCCCACCCTATGCTAGGAGGACAGCCCTTATTCTAGCCAGCTTCTTGATGTACGCATGGTCAATCCTTCCTGCTATTCTCTCCCCCTGTTTGTCTCCTAGGAGTGGGCACTGTGCCATTGCCTGTGCTTCCAGGACCCCAGTTCCTGGCCAGGCACTCAAATCACATCTGTCCTCACAGCACAAAGGAAGAATCACTGAAATCAAAGCTAACACACACACTATGTCACAAGGAACAAATGCAAATAAGAGTCCCAGAGACTGCAAAGGTCACACGTGCAGTTACAGGGCTCAGTTCTGACCTCGCAAGGATACTCATCAGGAGCGACTGCACTGATTTCAACCATGTCCTGCCAGTGCAAAGCTGATGTGTGAGGAACATGAAGTCCTCGTTGTTTCTGAAGTCACTGGCGTGCCAGGTTGTGTGAATCACAGTAACAATTGTCCCCACAAGATCCATTGCGACTACTAAATATTCACAGAGAGGTATACCAAAGACTGTAAGTAGGAGCCAGCTTTGGACCTCTCGTACAAAATGGATCCAAATTCTGCCTTAGTTTACAAATGCTGACCTCAGGGACCCTGCATGCATCTGAAGCTGCACTTAATCCAATGCATTTCTGAAGACGGAGACAGTACGTCGAGTTCACCCTTCCAAGCAAAGCCACTTGTTCCAAACCTTGGGCCAGAAGCCTCCCATCTCCCACACTCGATGCCTTTAATGCATATGCTGCATTCCTGGCCCGTGTGCTGATATGAACGGGAGTCCCAAAGCCAGAACGAGTGCGGAATATGCAATAGAGATCTGCACTGCAGATCGGAGATGAGAAGTTTGCCACGACCAACAGAAACATGGCACTAGCTGCATTCAGGATTTTCTCATTGTTTTGTGTAACAAGCCCACTGCAAAAAGCATCAACTGCTTTGGCAAAAAATGATGGACTCAGAAATGCTAATCTATTTGTCATACACTAATAGCAATTTCATTACAGGTTCATAAAGCAAAACCACTCTGAACACTTGCCAGCCACAAACTAATTATCCCTGTCGTAACTTTTCTGACATGTCCAGCATGCTCTGAATGTAAATGATGCAACGAAGATGAATCTTATATATTTCATCGTGCTTTGCACGTGAGCATTAATGGAATGTATGATCCATAGGATAATCTTCAGCTATTAACGCAAAAATTATGACCTACCTTATACAATGCGGATGTGGATGCAGAGCCAACAGCATATGCTACACCAATAATTGAATCACCATGGAAACCATCTGCATATGCCATCATAACAATTCCTGTGATGGCCATTATTGCTGCGACTATCTGTACAAGCAAAAGCAGAAGAAATTTCAAGCTCAGCACAACTTTATTGCTTGGAAAGACATCAGATGATCTCTGTGTATTTTTATGAGAGCTACCAGCTACTTTTCTCTAACTTTAATCCTTCTAGTTTCCTCTTAATAGGTGATTATGTTACTACCGGGAGGGATGTGAAATAGTAATGAAGGTGTATGTATCATGAGCAATATGGGTCTATAACATAGCAAATCCTCCTGGTGCCCATTGACAGAACTTTTATCTTAAATTATTTTTGCTTTACCATCCACACTGCTGCAATAATCCCAAGGTAAGACATTTTAGCATTTCGTTCTCTCTCTCTAACTAAACAAATGCTTTAATACAGTCCTTGATATGGGCTTGGGGTTTCAGGGCAACCAAGAGGGAATTATTAGGTGGCCAACTTTCCATGGAATCAAGTGTTTTATTCTGAAATACAGTGTTTAGCGGGCCGTTGAGGAACAGTGTGTTCCACAAGAGCCACGCTGCTCTGTTTCCCCAGTTAGAGATGACCCAAGTTGTTTTGAACATCTCACATTTGGCTCATCTGAAAATATGAGTCAGTATTTATTACTATTCTTCAAGTGTTAAACTTACACTGGAGCACAATGAATGTGGATTTTGCCTCGGTGGTCATGCCCTTCTTCCATTTGCAAAAATCTCCCACTGTGTCTAATCGCCTTGACCAAAATTAGGTAAATAAGTGATACATAGTTAGCAAGTGATGAAGTAGTTAATCCATAGTTAAAAAGTGGTCTGAATATTAAAGTTGCTTAGTCTTTGCAGCTTCCACTGATTTCAGTGAGCGTTACTGTTGCTTTATCTGAAAACCACATGGTTGTGTTTGAAAATTAGACGCCACTTGCATCATTTCACTCTGGTAGTAAATGCCATGAAACTAAAATATTCAGCACTTAGCAAAAAAAAAAAAAAATGCCCACTGCACCAAAGATGTCAGTATTTAAAATGCAACCGTTTGGCTTTTAGACCTTCCATTTGGAGGTATATTTTTGTAGGCAAAAATCAGCTATTTTTTGTGTTTGCTAATTTGCATATCCCTGCCCCCTCTCAATCAGCAGATGGCTTGAAGCACCCTTGTAAAATCACGGTGGGGTGTATTTGGCATAAAATGAGCTGACTCCCTTAAAATAAGCTCCTGAGATTTGCTACTTCTAACTGGGAGCATCTACACGAGACATTTACTGTGCAGTTGACTAGTTAAGTAAATGACTCGGCATCTACACATGCACCCCTATTACGGCACACAGAAATAATTAACTCTGCGGCAGGGTAGTCTTGTAAAAGACAAGCACTACCCTGCTGCAGTTTTTGTGTGCGCAGCCGTGCACATGTAGATACTGCCCCGGCTGGCTGGGGCACAGGGTCCTTCAGTGTGGGGCTAGCCGCGGAGATGGGGGAGCAGCCCTGGGCTGGCAGGCTGACTCCTAGGGTCCGCTGCCAGCCCAGGCTGCTCCAGCTGGGCTCCATGTGCTGTGCATGAATAAACTTCGGAGCAATACGTCCAGAGTTTCTTGCTTCAGCACGCATGTTCAAACGGCATGTCTGGGAGCAAAAAACTCCAAAGCAAGAAGCTCCAGAGTTTATTTGTGTGCTTTAGTTGCATGTGTAGACATGTCCACTGTGTATTAAACAGGCTGCATAAAACTGTTGCCACCATAAACCTTGCCATGTCTTTATAAGATTGTTAAATAGCAATAACAACTCTGCTGTGTGGAACAAAGGATAGCTTTCTTAATAAAAAAGCTTTAATATGCTTTGATGAATTTCAATTTTCAGCAATTAGACATAATTTCCTATGATCCTGTTCCTGTGATCCCATAACTATTTCCAAAGAAGCTAATACTCTACATTTTCTGCTCATCTTGCAATTCTAATTTCAGTGAATTAAGTTATATGTAAATTGCTATACCAATTTAAAATCGCACATTAGACTTCCCAACCCTCTTTATGGAAGTAAAATGCTAATTTCCTCAGGCGTTCTTAACGCCAGGTGAAATACTGCCAAAACAAAGCTACGTGCAGGATTTGTTATGCAAAGCGGGCGCAGGGAACTGCACACAACCTGAAAGAAAAACAGCACGCTCAGTCGGCACTGGGCAGTGTATGGGAAGCAACAGTGAATACTGGCAAGCGGCAATTCATCTTTGCAGGAAAGACTGTTCCACGTGAGCCAAGTAGGACCTACGTTGTCTTATTACTGCAGTTACCCGACAGTCAGTACTGTGCACTACAGCCCAATGGAGAGTGGAAAAACCTAGATATACAAGATGCACATTTCCAATTGAGCATTACAGAATCACCAACAATATGTACAACATTAACAGCATTTCTCAGCTTTGGACATCAATAAATAATCCCCACAACAACCCTGTGAGGTAGGTGAGTGAGTTATAATTACTCCAATTATATTAGGAGGTGGGGGACAGACAGGAACGAGAGGGCAGTTAGGTTCAGAAAAGCCAACTTGTAAAAGTGTTGCCTTCCTGCTTTGCTTGAATCAGGGTGACAGCTACAAAGCCAATAGTGCTGCCAATCTGAGCGTATCACCTGGTTTCTACTTTTGGTTGTCCCTCGGGAAGAGAATCGGTAACGAAGTTAACAGTGGAGTAATGTTAACTGCACTTGCCTATTGCTTTAAACACCCCTGAACTGAGCCAGGCTTTCTGGTGAAGGAGCAGAGCCTGACGTTAACATGTCATCTACCGTTTGGCGGGGCTTGAAGGTAGGAGAAGAAAGAAAGAAAAAAAATCAGCTACATTTTTACTTGTCAAATAAGTGAGTTTGATCCAGAGCCACTGACAGGCAATAACCATACAACCCCATGCTAGTGTTTTTATAGTGTATGTCTACACATTCATGAATGCACCGTAGTTACTGCACATTAAGTTTAGTACTTGCACAACCAAGGATTCAATCAATGTGCACTAACTGGTGCTACTGCGCAGTGGTGCCAGCGCACGGCTTTTTAGTGACGCTAACTGCACAGTAGCCTAATACTACTGCGCACTAGCATATCAGCACAGGTTTTCCCTCCATGTTACTGCCAGTAGAATTAGGCTAATGTGCAGTTTGCGTCTTGTGTAGGGACATCCCAGCAATGGATGTATTGCTCCATCTCAGTTTGACACGCTCATATTTGCCAGAGGACCTGTGAGGAGGGTTCAACAGGGTTAGAAATGAGGAAATCAGGACTCTCAGGCTGGGATCACAGGTAACATTTTCAGGAGCTCCTGAATCACAGAGGAGACTAAGTTTCATTGAGATCCTAGGTGCCCCAAGGCCTGAGCCATGCATATGCACTTGCTCTCAAGCAGCTCAGTCTTGACAGTGTGGAGCAATTTCAACTCCTCTGCGTTATAGGCCCTGCCCCAGCCCATGTGCTCTGAGCACACCCAGACATCAGGCTGCACACAGACACGTGCAGGGGAAGCACAGACACTGCATTACACACACAAAGGGGGATGAAAGCAGGGACCAGGACCCTGATGTGCACTCTGCCTGTTGCCTCTCTCATCATTAGGCTTGAGCATCACACTCAAACTTACACAGCAACTCTGCCCCTGGCTCGAGGACTACTCCACGTCCAGCAGACCAGCTGTAATAGAGTGAGTGCCTGCTCTCCCCACACCATCCCCAAGCTGCTACAGAGGGGGAGGCTAGGGCACGGTCATGGGAAATGTAGGTTTGAATCCCCTCAGGCAGAAAAAGAAATTCAACTTGCATCTCCCAAATCTGGGGAGAGTGCTTGAAACACTGAAGTCATAGGAAAGCAGGGCTGGAAGGGACCTCCGCACAGCAGGATCATCCCTATTCAAACCATCCCAGAAACGTCCTTGTCTAACCTATTTGTAAAACTACACAATCAACCATATTGCCCCAAGACACCAAATACTCTCTAAAGGCCATGCCCCCCACTACAGATAAAGGCTAACCTCCCCCCACAACAGTCTGTACCAATCTGACCATGGGGTAAAACGCCATCCTGATCCCCAATGTGACTATCAGGCTGACCTTAAGCAGAGGGGCAAGACCCTTTAACCAGGAACCTGTGGGCTTATGTCCCAGCAGAAGCACTGGCACACCCCAGTCAAAACCCCACCTTGCCTGCAGCCAATACCCAGGGTTTCTGAGGAAGGTGAAAAACAAACCTCTGACACCTGTAGCACCAGGAGAATAAAAAAAAAAAAAATCCTTCCTGGCCCCAGGTGGCAACCAGCAAGATCCAGAAGCAAGGAGGAAACATAGATCAACCATACTTCATTCTGGTCTTCAACCTGGGGACAGCAAGCATGACTTCACACAGCACACCCTACCTGCACAGCCCTGGTTGTATTCCCTGCCCCATAAACTTCTCCCAGCTGCTTTCACCTTCTTTCATACTTAAACCAACCGTGGAGCTTTCTTCTGAAGGGTATCACCGCCCCTGCCTCTTGATTGTTGGGGGAAAAGGGCTTCGGTGCCTCCTTTCATTTGAAGATTTAGGGCTGTGAATCTGGAGTGGGATGAAATGCCTCCCCACAGCCTAAAGTAAGGGCGCCTGTTGCTTAGCAAGCGGTGGGATTTCAGACACATCACTCACAGCACCACTTCTTCTTATCTAGCTTAGAAGGCCTCCTACTCAGCATGTTACCTGTTACAAATCCTACTGCTGAGTGTCCAACTCTTCCCATATATAGATGGGGGAAAAATATACACACCTTTTCAGTTGTAAAAGCAAAGTGTGCTGCCAATTTTAATCTAGAAAAATGTGTTCCCTGTGTATCAAAAGTTTGGGAAACATCTGTCTATCTATCTATGCATAGCCAAGGAACACATTTTTCTAAATTAAAATTGGCAGCACACTTTGCTTTTACAACTGAAAAGGTGTGTATATTTTTCCCCCATCTATATATGGGAAGAGTTGGACACTCAGGAGTAGGATTTGTAACAGGTAACATGCTGAGTAGGAGGCCTTCTAAGCTAGA